GACATGATCCTATAGGTAGAAAACCCTAAAGACTCTACCAAAAAAACAATGGAACTGATACATGAATTTAGTAAGGTCATAGGATACAAAATCAGTATATAGCAATCTGTTGCATTTCTATACACTAATAACGAAGTAGCAGAAATAGAAATCAAGAAAATAATCCCATTTACAATTACACTAAAAATAATAAAATATCTAGGAATAAACTCAACCAAGGAGCTTAGAGATCTGTACACTGAACACTATATAACCCCGATGTAAGAAATTGAAGATGACACAAACAAATGGAGAGCTAGTTCATGCTCATGGATTGGGAGCACAGATATTATTAAAACGTCTATACTACCTAAAGCAATCTAACATTCAATGCAACCCCATTCAAAATAACACCAGCACTTTTCACAAAACTAGAACAATCCTAAAATTTGTATGGAATCAGGAAAGAACCCAAATAGCCAAACTAATCTTGAAAAAGAAGAACAAAGCAGGAGGTATCACAATCCCCAACTTCAAGCCATATTACAAAATATAATCATTGAGACAGGGTGGTACTGGCACAAAAACAGAAACATAGGTCAATGGAACAGGAACAGAATAAGGTATCCAGAAGTAAACCCATGATTATGTGGTCAACTAATCTTTGACAAAACAGAAACGACATCCAATGGAAAAAGAGACCTCTCTTCAACAAATGGTGTTGGGAAAACTGGACAGCAATATGAAGAATGATGGACTACTTTCTTACACCACATACAAAAGTAATCTCAAAATGGATGAAAGACCTAAATGTGAGACAGGAAACCATAGATTCCTAGAGGAGAACACAGATGGCAACCTCTTTGACCTCGGGCACAGCAACTTCTTCCTAGACATGTCTTCAAAAACAAGAGAAAAGTGGCAAAAATCAACTGTTGGGACTTCATTGAGATAAACTTTTGGATGGCAAAGGAAACAGTCAACAAAACTAAAAAGCAAGTGATGGAATGGGAGAAGGTATTTGCAAATGGCATATCAGATCAAGGGCTAGTATCCAAAAATCTATAAAGAATTCATCAAAGTCAACACCCCAAAAGTAATCCAGCTAAGAAATGGGCAGAAGACATGAACAGTTTTCCAAAGAAGACATATGAATGACCGACAGACACATGAAAAACTGCTCAACATCACCCATCATCAGGGAAATACAAATCAAAACCACAACGAGATTATCTCCTCACACCAGGCAGAATGGCTAAAATTAACAAATCAGGAAACAACAGATGTCGGCGAGGATGCCGAAAAAGGGGAACCCTCCTACATTGTTGGTGGGAATGTAAGCTGGTGCAGTCACTCTGAAAAACAGCATGGAGGTTCCTCAAAAAGTTGGAAATAGAGCTACCCTATGACCCAGTAATTGCACTTCTAGATATGTAGCCACAGGATACAAAAATACTGACTCAGAGGGGCACATGCACCCCCATGTTTATAGCAGCAATGTCCACAATAGCCCAACTATGGGAAACAGCCCAAATGTCCATCAACTGATGAATGGAGATGTGATATCCACATTTAATGGAATATTCCACTTATCAGAAAGAATGAAATCTTGCCATTTACAAGGACATGGATGGAACTAGAGTGTATTATGTTAAGCAAATTTAGTCAGAGAAAGACAAATATCATATGAATTCACTCATATGTGGAATTTAAGAAACAAAACAGATGAACATAGGGGAAGGAAAGGAAAAACAGAATGAAATACAAACAGGGAGGGAGGCAAACCATAAGAGACTCTTAACTTTAGGAAACAAACTGAGGGTTGCAGGAGGAGAGATAGTAGGGTAGATGGGGTAACCGGGTGATGGACATTAAGGAAGGCACATGATGTAAAGAGCACTGGGTGTTATATGTAAGGCATGAATCACTAAATTCTACCCTTGAAACCAACACTATACTCTATGGTAACTAACTTGAATTTAAATTAAAAAAAAATGAAGTGGCAAGACTACTATTTTTTTTAATAGGCTTTTCTTTCTTTTTGCTTTGTAATCTTTTATTTACAAAAGTTATCATCAGTGAATGCATGGCCTACCCAGTAGCACAGAGGTTAGAAAGCAGAGATTAGAAAGAACTTTACGGGTCACAGCAATAGCTTCTCAAGCAGTTATTTTTTTTCCTGTGGGCCAGTTTTACTGTAAACCTGTTGTAGAACTAAGAACACTTTTTTGTTTAGGGCTGGTATGGAGTGTTAACTACCTAATCGAACAGGCCAGTAGGCAGAAACCAGGATGCCATGATCCTGACCCATCTCTGCAACCCCTGACTTAGGGTGTGAGAACCACAGGGTCACTCTGATTCTCCGCAGGGATGAATTATGAAAGGAACAACAGTAATTTCTTAAGAATTGTACAATTTTCATAGTATTTCTCATTTCACATAGAAAAATTCAAGGAAGTGGGAACACTATTATACATTTCACAGATGAAACAGAGGCGCTGAGGGGTGAAGATATCTGCCCCAATTCATACACAGTCAGTTTGTTTTTTTAAAATCTGTCCTTTTTTATTTTTAGGCCAAGAGGTGATGTCCTTTTCAAGTGGCTTTGCCTATGCCAATAAAGTAGCAGATCTCCACTGCATTTATCTGCTTCTGGTTCTAGTGACTAGTTTTACATTATGGTTTTACAGAGCTTTCATGATTCCCTATAGAGAACACACAGTCCGTAGCCATGACTTTTCAGTTTTCGGAAGGAGTTAGCAAATTGCAAGAGTTTCACCGGGACCAACCAGTGTCCCTCTTCCACAGATTGTTTTCGGTGGTTACTTTTTCCTTTCAGATGTGACATGGGGATTAATGAGAGATAAATATAAGAATACACTTGTTTCAACATGTGATTGTATCCAACAGTGATTATTTTACAGACTAACATTAAATAAATGACAACCAAAAAGGAGCCATTCACCATGATTCGTTTGTTGCTCAGAATGGTCCAGATCTGGAAACCACGGCTTTTTTTTTTTTTGTTTGTTTGTTTTTTGATAGCACGCCCACCAGGTCACGGCAGCTGAAAACTGAGAAGTCCCATCACGTGCTTCTTCAGATGGTTTGACATCAGATAGTCACAGCCCACATGTCCTCTTACACTTGGAAAAGGACTCCTGACTCTCAAGGATCACAGGCTTTCATTTGATCCTTCACTTTGCAACCTTGAAGGTAAAAGGGCTGTGGGGGGTGGGGCGTGAAGACCAGAACACCTCATTTTAAAATGAGGTTTCTCCTGACACCTGTGCTTAGTGATACACAGAGACTCCGATTGCCTGCAGAGCTTCAAACAGGACACATTATCGGTTTGAGAGAAAATGTTTTGAAATAGGGTCTGGCCTACAGCTGAGGTTGGGAGGATGGTGTTATTTACTTTCCAGGGAAAAGCTATCTACTTCAGATTAAAGAAGAATTAGAGCATTATCAGCTCTGATTCTGACATCAGAAGTACTGATATTTGGAAACTGCTTTAAAACAACTTTGATTATAAGTGACAGTGTGAACTTCTAAAGTGATATCTTGGTTTCAAAACATTAGATTTTATGTTCTAACAGTGAGCCCAAACCATTTTTTTTTTAAATAAAGTAGTGCTTGCTGGCAAGAATGAGTAAAATCTTAATTTTCTAAGTTTTTCAAATCTTATAAAGTCTCTCCTCTGTAAAGACAAACTTTCAAGCATATTATAGCATTCCCCATTATACCTCGGTCAGACTCTATTGTCCTGGTACTACTCTGCCATAGAAAAAAAAAAAAAAATCCCAAATGAGCTTTTCTAGCCATAAGTATATGATTCTGTCCCCACAATTAAGGGAACCAGGATAGCTCAGATATCAAGACTGAGGTTTCTAAAAAATTTGTTCTAAAAGAAGTATGTGCTCATTCAATAACATTTTTAGGTTGCTACCATATATACAGTTAGCATTGTATATATTACTATTACCAATACCACTTTTACTATGGAGCTGTATTCATATTGAGGTCCCCTGTGTCCAGAAACAGTAACACATATATTTAAATGAAGAAGACTAGTATTCATTAGATGCATAAACATAAATCTTAAACATAAGTCTGCAGAATATTTTTTTTCAAAGCTATGCTGACATGACACAACCAATCCAATAGAAAAGTGGAGAAAAAGTTTCAAACACCGGCTATTTTGAGAATACGACAATATCAAAAGTCTCCAGTAGCTGCCCAAGTGTTTTCAGGGTTAGGGGATTTAAATATTCAAATCTCTATAGCCCTTAAGTTTCAAAATGCTTTTATTAATACGGTATAAAGCCACAACTCCGGGCCTCCCAAATGTGAATTGGAAGTCACAGGGGAAAAACCCTCGAGCGTATAGCTCTTCTCCCCCACACACATGAGTTCAACAAAGACAAAGTGGTAAAAATCCCTAAGTCCCCTTCCTGGCCTTGGGACCCCAGTAACTTTCCAGATTCCTCTCTCCTCTTTCCAGCCCTGCCTGGACCCCAGGCTGCAGAATGTGTGAAGAACGGATTTGGCAGGAAATACGTGCTTAAGGGCATTCAGGTGCAAGTTATGCCGGATTTTTCCCCTGGCATCCAAGGAGATTATTATTAGGGAAAGAACAGTTTACAAACTGCTTTTGGGGAGGGCCACTTAATTTTATGCTGTTCCCACCATTCCCCTCGACCAAACACTCAAGCCATATAAATTATTCCTTCTTAATGTGGAACAAAACAAAACATAACAAACGGCCCCTGGTGAATCAACCTTCCAACAGGCTCGCTTTATATCCTAGATCAGGGATCGGCAAATTTTTGCTGTAAAGGGCCAGCGGGTAAGTGTTTTAGGCTTTGCGGGCCCCTCTTCAACTTCTTTTGCAATGACTCAGTTCTGCTAAAGTAGTCACAAACTAGTCTGCATAAGCAAATGCATGTGACTGCATTCCAGCGCAATTTACAGAAACCGGCAGTGGGCATGCTTGACCTCAGGGCCATAGTCGGTCTGTCCCTGTTCTAGATAATAGCCACAAACCGTGCCTCTCTGGAGAACTGCCAAGGGCGTCGTCCCACGGCTCTAGCCAGGTTCGTGCCTACTTACACAATATTTAGTTCTCTGAGGACAGAGGCGTCGCTGTGCAAGCCGGGACGACCTGAGGAGTCAACGTTTATCCACACCTGCAAATCAGCATGCTCAGAGATGGATGGGAGCCCAGAAGGGTCTGTTTCTGTTTTATTAGCAAACCTGAGCGTGTAGCCTGTGCCTGGCTTTTTGCTAATCCTGGAGGGGCAAGCGGGAGCTGAGGATAATGATCATTCTGGTGCTGGGGTGGCAGGTGCAGAGGCAGAGAAAGGTAATAAAATTACGGGCAATCTGGTTCCTCTGCAGCCTGAAAGGGTCCAAGCGGCTTCCCTAGGCATTGAAAACAAGTCAGTACTCAGGAATTCTCCGCTCAAGTCATTAGGCTTAGAAACTCGGAGGTAAATTTGCTCAGCACGTGGCTAAATACCCAAAATCCAAAACCAAATGTATAACCGCTGGGAGGGCAGCAACAGCGAGAATCATGGAGTTTCCTACAGGTGGAGGAATTCTTGCCAATCATCTTCGCCAGGCCTTGCCTATTACCGGTCGGGAAAACAAGGCCTAACGAGGAAGGGGTAACTTGGCCAGCTAGTCTGTGGAGAAATCACCAAATCTCAGCCATTTTGACTTCGTCTTTGCTATTTCACCCTAAGGAATCTGAACTTAAAGGGGATTCCCTGACCGTATCAACACTCATGTCATGAGATTATGACAGCTAAGTACCTGGTTATCCTACAGACAAGATTTATGTTGGGATATAAATGATGCCAGAGAAATCTGAAAGTTGCTGAGGGGGAACAGGATGCCTCTCTTCACTGGTTTAATGTAGATGACAAAAACCGCACAGGATAAAGCATTAAATGGCCATCTTCCCACGAATATAAATGCTGGTCTCTCATATTATATGATAACATGGCAAGAACAGACTGGGAAGTTCTTAAATCAAAGTTAGCATTGATCTGTTTCCCTCCTAACAAATCAAAAGCAAATGTTACCCTCATGTCTTTGGTGTCTGTGACGTAAAGGATCCCTCGGGCAATGAAGGCATTGCCGGCCTTGGTTTTGGGGTACGTAGTATTGATGTGTTGCCCCACAGAGAATGTCCTCTCATCCAGCTGGGCAACGAGAATGCTCGAGCCATCCACACTCGAAGCGTAGATAATCCAAAGACCCTTTTCATCCACAGCTAAATTGAAGTAAGTCTTGGAATTTGCAAAGAGGTATTTTCGATCAAAATACAGGGCATTTTCAAGCTTCAGAGTTTGGGATGTTTCTTTGCCAAAATCAAATCTGAAATGTATTAAAGGGCAGATATGAGTCAGCATTCTTGAGGACAGCGGTGGCTTTGTTTATGGCTATCCTCTATTAAACTGGGTGGAGCCTGAGACGCTGCATTTCTAAGTTCCAGGTCATGCCCATTCTACCGGTAGACTCACAGTGCTCTGCGCGTCAAGGATGTCAAGGATGGTGACACCATCTGAGGGTCTACCTGCGAGCCACGTGACCCAGGAACATTCCTTACTCTCCTGATTCTCGGATGTTTGCTAATCTCCTGAAATGTCCTCTCCAAGATTCTTAGACCTGCAGGAGGCCTTAAAAAATGAGCTAGTCCAGTCTTTTCATTTTACAAATGAGAAAGGAGAAGTGACTGACCCGGGAACATCAGTAAGTAGCCAGAGTTTGAATTTAAGTTTTCTAACTGCAAGTTTGGGGGTTTTTCCTCTACCTCTGCTGGAGTTTTAAAAACAAACATGTCACAACAGTCTAAATGAAGCAGGAAGTCGTCAGATGGGAAGAGATGGAGCCAAGTCACTGCCGTGAGGGCAGTTTTCTCATCAGGAAAGTGATGGGATAACTTGAGCTACAGCAGGGAGTCCCCCACCCTCGGCTCTTGGAGGCTGATTTGGCAGACTCCACACCCAGCCCTGATCAGAAATGTTGACTGTGATACAAAAGTACCCTAACTCCAAGAATGAGAATTCGGGAACATTGGGCTAAAAGAAAAGAAGAACACAAGAGGGTGCCATTGAGCAGCAGAAGAAATGAGGACGGTGCGACTGTGCCCGGGAGCCTCGCAAGCCTGAAGCCAATTAGGAGCCCCTGAAGTAAGTACAAAAAGAAGCCAGAGGCAAGTGAGGGCTTGAGAAGAGCCTGCCTGCCCGGCTCAGCTCTCGGTCTTCTCTGTCCTCTGAATGCCTGGAGTTCGGGACTGCCATTGCTCTGGTATTGGTGCCTGGTGGTGCGTTTCTTGAAGGGACTTGTCTCTCACAGGAGAAATGGGATCTGGTTCCCCTGTGGTTGGCGGAGAGCAGGGCTGCAGGACAGACCTAAGCAGCACATCACTCGGGCTAAGTCTCATTAGAAGCCACTCTTTCTTGGAGTGGCTGATCCTCTTTCTGGGGCTCATTCGCCCCTGAGCTCCCTCACCACGCTCGTTCCTATGGAAACACAGCCTGGGGGCGGGGGCAATAAGAAGCTGTAGGATTACATGGGAGAAAGGGCACCAGAAGGAGTGTGTCTGGGGAGTCCCGGCTTCTAAACAGGAGGGGTTTGGTTGCGGTTTTCTGTTAGCACAAGACTGTGCGAAAGAGGTAGCCAAGGAGCTGCTGAAATGGTGGGGGAAGGGAGTGAGAGGCCAAGGGGGGTGGAATGCTTCCAGCCATAGCTCACATGTGTCCTGCCCCCAGCCTAACCAACACTCCAGTGCCAGCAAGGTTGTTGCAGCTGGGCCTCATGGGCAGGGGGCGGGGGGGCGGTTATGAGGGTAAGAGAAGTGGGACCCGGTTTTCCCGCAGGTCCTTATCTCTTGTTTTGAATGACTCGGACCATGGCTTTCATAATACTGGGATTATTTCAGATAGGGCTGCCGCTGGACGGCTGCAGAGGTTCTGGTCCATCTTCTCATTTTTACTGAGGACCAGCAGACCCCAGGAGGTGGAGTCTTGTCCAAGGCCATGGAGTCAGTAGGCAAAGATGGAACCTGACTGAGTTCCCTGCTTTCTCGATTTATCCAAGATGACCTGCTTCTGCCTCTAAAGACCAGAACTTGATGTCTTCTTAAGCCACAAAGACAGAATTTTCGCAATTCTTTTGGGGGAATCAGGAGGACATGGCTCAGTCTATCCAGGTAGCCATCTCCCTTCCCCTTAGGAGAGCAAAGATGAGGAGAGGGGGCCTGGCCAGGGCTCCATCAGGACGACAGCTCAATCTGAACACAGAGATTCCCTGACTTTGCACTGTGTTCAGTCTTTAGTCTTCAATGATCTATGACATGAAATTCTCACACCCCACGTTTTTCAGAATACAACGACTTTGAGGTGTGACGCCTTCCTGACAAGGGAGCGCTAGGTTCTGCCTGCCTCTTTTTTCCAGGGCTAAGAGAGCTACAGCCCTTATCACTCCAGATCTACTTCTCTCTGGCTCTGACCTTACTCTTGATGTCTCCACCAGCAATACGGCAGATCCCTGGCTGGGTCATGGGGCTCCCTCACTGTGTCCTGTGGTTCTTTCAGTTAGCAAACCCTGACTGACCCCTGTGTGGAAGCTCTGGGGACAGAAAGATGAGGGAACCACACTCCCTACGCCCAAGTAGCTCCCGGATCGGTGAGCCACCGCACAGGTGCTGTCTGGGATGCATGAGCAGGGTGGCTGTGGCCCGGGTGACTCACCTCACTATGGTGTTGGAACCTCCTTTGTGGTAGTAGAGAGAGTTGTTGTGAACGGCATGCCCGCAGCCATGGAAATAATACGGCAGCTGCACGAGTGCGTAACTGCCGTTCAGCAGTGAGGGTTGGTCTTTGAATTCCTTCACCCTGATGCCTGCAGGGGAGAAACCAGGGAAAGGCATGGGAGGGAGTAGGGGGAGGACGTTAAAAGGACGTAAGTTGAGAATGAGGTGTCTAGCAAGGGTCCATGTCCAGGTTGGAGTCTCAGACTCCCAGACTCAAGGCCAATTCTCTTCTCTTATTTCCTGAACCGTCCTTCCATGGCAGAAGCCACAGAGTTGGCTTTGCTCCTCCAGGACCCCTCTAGACTATTTATAAAGTCTTCTATCAGACCCACAGAGGCCTGGACCAGCAGCAGCGAAATCTTGGCCCTCGTGTAATCCCCTCTGCCTATTCCTGCCCCTGCTGAGTGTTCCTCCTTCCTTCGGAGCCACAGAGTCCTTCCCAGCTGGTAACCTGGGCCGTCACCCAGCCCTGAGGAAATGAAGTCGTGTCTCAGCAATCGTTCTGATCCGTGAGAATGGCCAGACGCTTTCTGGAACCAGGCTACTGCTACCGCTAATGGTGGTCCTGAACTGTCCCTCCAGGGCCACGCAACTGGAGTTGTGCTTGGAGGCAAGGGGGTACCTCACCCTCTCCCCTGGGCTGTCTGTCTGACAGAGCTCTCAGAAAGATGGCCATGAGTGCTCTCCTTAAAGAAAGACAGACAGCGCGCAAGAATTTGTCTCTAACATTTCTTCCACATTATGGTTTTGGGCTTGATAAGGCTGTCATCATAAGGCTATTTGTTTCCTTCTAGATATTTCACCTAAAACTGAATAAGCGACATTGGGAGCACCCTGGGGCTGCCCCTGGGACCTGACCTGCAAGGCTTGTCCCCAGTGGGCTCAACTGAGACAAGTGTGCCGCCCACTCACTTGTGCTTTGGAAAACAAAGAGCCTCTGTGTGACCCTAATCAGGAAGGGGTTCAGATACACAGACATAGAATGAACCCAATGAAAGGCACAAGCCCCACACGGATCGGCCTCCTCACCAAGGGAAGTTACCTGAGAAATGTTCCGTCACCCAGATCCTCTCATCACTCTTGTTCGCAGACTCTCTTATCCACGTCCCAAATGTCTCTCTAACTTTTAGTACTTGTTTTGGACTCCCAATGGAAGCGATCACAGATTCTACCAAAGGGAGAGAAAGAAAAATCACTCATCATGACTTGAAGGCATCCAATTTCTGAATTTCAAAACAAGATGCTCTGCTTCACGTACCTGCTGGTGGAGAATGGTGATCCCCGGCCTTCTCATCAGCCTTTCCAACCAACGTACCATCGTTCGGTGTGGCACACGTCTCACCTACAACAACGATGACAATCGTCAGAGCAAATGCAGGTGGCACAGGGAGAGTCATGTAACTTTATTACTGGTGCTTTCCCCACTTTGCCCCAGGCTCTAGTCCTACAAGCATCCCTTACAATAGGTGCACCGAGTTTTTTAGTTACTTGCTTTTAAGCAACAAGTCAAATACTTCCAATTCCCCGCCACCTGCCCCTGGCATCCCCACTCTCTGCTGGGGGAGTTCCCAACAGCTATCCATCATCACAGTTACTAAAATAATGCAATCCCAAGAAGGTGTCAGTCAAAGGGAAAAAGTGGCCTATTCAAGCCCTCAGCACTCTGGGATTGGGGGAGGGGAGAGCCATACGGATGCTTCTTGGCTGCTCTGGCCTGGTGGTATCACTATCATGGATTGCATTTTCCTGGAAGGATTTACACTTTCAGGGAAACTGACAGAGCCTCATGATAGTGGTGGCCCCCTTTACCTTGTCTTCCTGGACAGCCAAAGGGAAGAGCCACAGAGGGAGAAGGGGCCCAGAGATGTTTGAGCTTCCCTCCACCATTTCCTACCCTGTTGTCTTGAAGGTCTACGGGACATGGGTCCTCAACAGGCGCCTGATTCACAGCTGGTTTGAGGCCATACCTGAGCTAGAAGCCATCCTACCTGGGTTGTAATTGTTCCCTTTAACAGATGGGCTTAATTCAGACCTTTGGTGAAGAGGTGTCCCTGGTTGGCAGAAGCAGGACAAAAGGGAGGAAGGTGGCCAATATAAAGACAGAGGGAATGGACTGGCTGGGGAGAAGGACCTGATCTGGGGCAGGTGGGGACAAGTAAAGCTTTCTGGAGTTCAGCCCACTTGCCTAGAACAATTCTGAGGGGTTCAAATCACCTTTTAGTTAGGTGTTAGGGGCACCTACATTGTTCCAAGGGAAGCTCACAGAATAATCTAGAGAGGTTTCTTTATCAGTAAAATAAAGGGCAGGACCCCCTGTACTCTAAGCTTCTTTCTAGCGGGATGAGCCTGTGTTTCCCTGATCTTCCTGTCCCCTGATGAGAGCAGTCTTGGGAACAAGGTGATGACTCCTGCTGCCTCTGAGTTTCATCTGGAGTTTCTGTTCAGGAACGTGGGTTTTGCCCAGGAAAGGGACAGAGAGACCCTCCTGTTCTTAGTCTGAAGAAAAGGCTCTCATTAATTCATGTTGTACTAACCTGATTCTAAAGCTGTGGGGGCAGGAGGGGGCTTAAAGAAATGGAATTGGAGGAGGAGAGAAGGCCAAGTTCATATGCACGATGCCTGGCAACCGAGGACTCATTTCTAGGAGGCAGAGTGGAAGACCACGGCCTCTCATTTAAGCAGTTTTCACAACACTGTGGCCTAGGTCCTGCTGACCAGCCTCTCAGTAGGCAGGCGAGGCAGGGGCGGCTGCTTCTCCCCGCACCCCTGTCCTGGCTGACACAGCCTGTGGCAAATGCTCAGGTCAGAACCCCCCTTCTCCCAGACAAAGGTTCCTGCTCAGCTCATTCTCCAAGGGCAGCTGAACAAAGAATTGATGCTCACGGAGAGGGTGATGCTGAATGGCACTGAAGGCCTCTTGGAGGGGGAAGTTCTAGCCTCACCTTGGAAGTATTTTTCATTAACATGGCCCTTCATTTGTAATTAGCTTTCAGTCCCGTGGCTACCTCTGGAACTGACTGACCCATGGGCAAGTCCTCTTGCCTTCCAGAGATCAGGCGCCCTTTGCCCTTGGTTGGCTTAGTCCCAAAGTGTGACTTTCCAGCTCTGAAAGGAGGAAGCTCTCAGAGCAGAGCTTTAGAGCCCAGCAGATGTGAGTCCCAGCTCTGTCACTTACTGAGTGATCTTGGTTAAGCTACACAGCTCCTGGGCATTTCAGTTCGGGATCTCTAAGTTGGTGGCAGTACCGACTGGCGTATCATGTCATTGCTGTGAGCCTCTAGCGAACTAAGCACTTAGCACCATGGTCAGCACGCAAAGCGGAGCGACGGAGAGGACAGAACTGGAGAACCACGGGGAGGTAACCAAGCTGAAACCCCGCCTCGTCTCCCCAACACAAGCCAAGCCCTTCACGCTCCCAGAGTGAATGGCTTAGTCTCTGAGACTGTTGTGGGGGAGAGGGATGGTGGGTTTGGCAAGGAAGAGGAATAGTCTGGGGATTAACGAGGGGAGGGTGAGCAGGGGAGGTTGTGGGGGGCCCAATTCTAAACCTGCTTTAAGTTCTCACCCCAAGGGCAGAGCGCCAAAGCAGCCCACTGGCCTGGTGCACAGGGGAATTCTTGCTTTAGGCAAAGCCTCTGTTCAAGAAATCTGGTTGCAAAGCCTGGGTGAAGGCTGAGCGTTTGGTATCATTAGCCAAAGAGTTGGGTTCCCTGGGGCAGGGGCTAGTGACCTGCGCACTGGCCATTGAACATGTTTGGCTGCCGAGGGCCTTTAGATCTTCTGCTTCCAGGAGGTCCTGGGGGACCTGGAGGGCCCGGGGGTCCAGGGGGTCCAGGTGGGCCTTGGTCACCTTTAGCACCTGGGGAGAGAAGGGGGGTGGGGAGAGAGTTTGATTCAAGAGCCATAAACAGAGATGGGTTTCTCCCAGGGGAAAGGAGAATAAGCAGCCCCAGGGAGGATGGCTGAGTGCCCCCTTCCCGGACATAACTGCATTCTAGAACTTGTCTATGCAAAGTTGAGGAAGCAGCCATAGAAGACGCTGAGTTCCAACTCTGTGCCAGGAACTGTGCTAAGAACTTTACAAATCTACTCTCCATTGTTCTTTCCAATCATCTGTGAGATGGTATTAGTAGCCCCTTCGTGACCTGAGTCTTGGGGAAGTTCAGTGCTTTGCCCAAGGTCACAACTGGGAACAGGGGTGGAACTGAACCTTAGGTGTGTCTCAGGACAAAGACAAAGCTCGTGCTCGTTTCACCCGCCTTGTTGGAGGATCTCAACCCTGACAGCTTATTAGAGTCCCCTAAGGTGATTTAATACAATTCTAATGCTGGGACCCCACCCAGAACAGTTAGGTCAAATGACAACAGGTCGTCTGTATTTTTGAGAGCCTCCTCATATGCCACCAGGTGTGAGAAGCACTGCTCCGTGTGGTAGAAGAAATCAGGCGAGCCTGCCAGGCCTGTGACCTGGGGCAGACAGCTTAACACTCTGAGCCTGTTTCTTCATTTCCAGACTGAGTCTCATCCTCCCTGTCTTGCCCCGTGAGAAGACACTGAGGTCACTGTTGTGAGTGCTCTGACTTTAGATGGCCACTGTGCATGGGTACAACCTATTGCAGGTGCTATTGTCTGGACCATTCACAAGGATGCCACGAGGCTGGGCCATTTAGCTCTTTGGTTCTACCCTCCCATCCTGAGCTGACTGGTGATCTCAGGTCTTATTAGCCACCTCTTCCCAGCCAGACTAGATAAGCCTTTCTAGGCTCTCTAGGGGCAAGCCAGGGTCCCAGAGGCTAGACGCAAGTCCAAGCCCACTCTGAAAGGGCCAGAGACCTGTAGGCAGGGCAGACAAGATCCACCCTCAGATGCCTTGTTGGCTCTCTAGCCAGCAGACACTCAGCTCTGGCTGCTCTCTCGAATTGGGGTACACACAGGGACGTAGCTTTTCCTGAATGGTTTATCAACACTTGTTAAGAGGTATAGGGGAGTATAGCAGTTGGGATGTATAAATTCCTATATAACTGAAGTATAACATGGTCTCGTGTTCTCAAAGTATATTCACCTATATTTGATCCTGTCAAAACACTTCCTAAATTTTATGTATTTTATACAGCAACCTCCCTGTTTAAGAAATAAATCATGCTAAACATAATTTGAGCTTTAGTCTTAGCACAGTACCAGACAAACAGTAGGTGCTCAACACATTTTGAGTGGCTAGATGGGCAACTGCTTCAGGGTCATTGTTCTTGACCATCTATCATCCCAGCTTCTTTGGGACAGATGTCCTGTCTCACTTCCATCTTCATATTCCCAGCTACTAGCAAAGTTCTAATTCATAAACGGTGTTCTTTGACACTCAAAAATATTTATTGAACACATAAGGGTAGTTATATTTTTAGGATAGAAGTGATCTCTGAAGTACTGTGCTTATAAAATTCTTCTGCCTCTTCCTTGTCCATGACCATCAGCTGTCACCTACTCTTTCTACCATGTCTTTCTGTGGTTTGCTGGGTCTCTACACCCCCCACCCCTGCCAGGTGCCAACTGTGTGCTCTGAGCCTGGGTTGGAAACCAGAAAAAGGAGATCAGCAACCAAGTCTGCTCCAATTCTACGTCAAAATGTTTAGGATAAAGATCTGAAGATTTCCCTACCTGGACTGTGAGGAAAATGCCTGAGCTTTCTGTCAGTTGTCCTCTGACGTATCTTAAATTGCTTGCTTACTCGTCTTGTTCTAGATTGTGCTAGACTTAATAGATATTTGGAAAAAGGAAGCTCCCTTCATCCTCATTCAATCTAACCATGATGTTTGGACTGGAATTATCTAAACTACTTCTGCTTAGATCTCAGATTTTGTCTCACCAAGGTTGGGATAGCATGCACAACTTTTTGAAAGCACAGAATTCTAAAACATGCTGCAAAGCAGATGGGCACATAAAGCAGATAAGGAGAGAAGACCCAAGCAGCATTTGTCCTAAAAACTAGGCCAATTTCTGGGCCCGGCCACTTACCTGTGGGGAGCACATCATTGGACACGTCCCCTTTGTCTCCTTTGTCACCCTTTGGCCCAGCTGGGCCCTCATTTCCAGTCAAGCCCAGCTCACCAGGGTCTCCCTTCTCCCCTGGAGTTCCTGTGGCTCCAGGCGGCCCTGAAGGGAGGAAATGATTTCTTAGCCTGTAATGCAAAAAATTCTGGTACCCCACTTTGTAATATCATATCACAAATTGTACTTTTAGGGTGAAGGAGCTTCAACAACCAAATACCTAAGACTCTGTGGCCATTTTAGGATGGCAGTGTGATACAAACTCATTAAAGACTTGTATTTCCAGGTGGCTCTTCTGAATATCTTAGGGACCTTTGGCTGGGCCAACAGGGAATGGACCAGAAAAGGGGCAAGCACGGCAAGAGTGGAAGGAAGGTAAGTCCTGAGCCGGTTTGCCTGCGGGAAGGATGGAGCACCCAGAGGGGTGTGTGTGGCGTCCGGAAGGGTGGGTGTTGTCCCCTGCATTGTTGGTTTCTTTCTCACAACATCCTGGAGCGGTAGGCTGCTCAGTCATCCTGACTCTCATTATAGGGAAGCTGGAGCTCAGGCTCGCATCATCACTGAGGCCACTAAGTGAGAAGCAGAGATCTGATTCTGTGTGCTCTTCTGTGACATTCCAATGCAAAACTGGAATGTCAAATGCTTTTCATCAAATGAGCAAAATGGGTAAAGTTGTTCTAGCACAAGCATTAAGACGGATGGTGATAGTGTGGGTGGACGGTCTGCCCCGTTCCTGGGGAGCCCTAACTCCAAGAATTGTGGACCGGTCCCTCTCGGCTAGACGCGGGTAAGAATCTATGCAGTGGCCCCTCTCAGAATGGATTACGGACCGCGAAGCATTCTGATCCCCGTCAGAGAGGAAGAAACTAGGAATATGATCTGACTGCCCTGGTCATGCTGGCAGCTAGTTTCCAGACAGCCTCAGAGGGAGTGGTACCCAGATAGAGCTCCACAATTTCACTGAGGTGAGGTGACAAAAGCTGGATTCTGGGGAGGTAGAGGTAGCTAGGATTCATGAGGCAGAAGGAGGAGGTTGTGCAGACAGAGCTCTGGAGAACTTCAGACGGATGTCATGGGGTCTTTGTCTGAGCAATGACCTGCAGAGTGAAACTCTACAAAGCAGGGCAGGGACAAAAAGGAAGTTCACTATACAACTCTCATGCCTGCCCAGGGAAAGGGCTTCATTCCCATCAGGCAAAGCAGAGAGATCTCAGAAAATGATGAGACACTGGGTAAAGTCCTTGGAAAAGTCTTGTCTCAGTAGTGAGGCTAAATTAGCCCAAGAGTCAAGGCTGCTTTGGATCCATTATATCTAAGCTTAAAAACAGCTTCAGAAGTATTAAACAGAGCTGGGAGGAGTTTCGTTGACAGAATAGAGTCCATGATCTGAATCGTTTAGTCAATGTAACACAGAACATTAACTATTTAAGAAAGAAAAGGATCGTATCGTCTCAGCAGACGCAGAAAGGGCATTTGATAAAATTTAAACCCATTCTTAATAAAAATTCTCATCAAACAAAAAATAGAAAGAAAAGTCCTCAATCTGAAGAAGGGCCTCTGTAAAAATACCTACAGCCAACTTCATCCTTAGTGATGAAAAACTAACTGATTTCTCCCCAACATCAGGAGCAAGACAAGGGCATCCATACTCATCACTCTTATTTCACACGTGATACCAGAGGTCCCAGCTAGTGCAATAAAGCAAGGAAAAAGAAAGAAAAGGCAAGATTGGAAAGGATGGATTCAAACTGTCTTTCAGATAGCTTGTTGTTTTGTAGAAAATCTCATGGAACCTATAAAAACGTACTAGAACTCCTCAGCACCCAGGCACCCTGGGAACCTGAGAAGGAAAGGGGTTTCTAGTATTGGGCAGAGGTATTGCCAGCTGTGAATGTATTAACACAGTCCCCTATCTGCAGGGCCCACATGCTCAATTCCACAACAACTTCCCGGAGAGATTGCTCCCTAGAGATACTGCTCCAAGTGGCTAAGATTTCAGGCAACAAGGAAGAGCCAGAGGGCATGTTTTAGTGCAAACAGACTTTTAGTTCCTCTCAACCTCTATAACCAAGAGGGCTTAGGATCCATTCATTTTCTTTTCTAATTACCTTGCCAGTCCCCAAGCCCATTCTTTCTTTTTCTTAAGATAATTATTAATTAGAGAGAGAGAGAGAGGAGGGGTAGAGGGGGACAGAGAGGAAGAGGGAAAGAATCTCAAGCAGACTCTGCCCTCAGTGTGGAACCCAACACATGGGATCTATCTCACAATCCTGAGCTCATGCCCTGAGCTGAAACCAAGAGTCAGACGCTTATCCAACTGAGCACCCAGGCGCCCCTCACCCCACGCGGTGTTCCTTCTTATAGGCTCTGGCTAAGTGCCCAGGGCCTCTCTCTTATCCTCATCGACTTGGCCAGTCCCCACTCTCCAGCTGTCATCCTTTCAACCTTGCGACTGTCCTCCCTCCAGAGTAACACTCGAGATCTTTAGATCTGGATCCACCCCCGCCCCATTCCCTACAGCCCCACAGGATTCCAAAATCACTGTCCCAAGAGAATCTGAGAATTTGGGATTGGAAGGCACCTTGGAGGTCATCCAGATTAACCCCATGTCCCAGCCTAGAAGCCTCTCTTCACTCCCCGATTGGCTCTTCTGGAGTCCTGTCAGCAGTGGGCAGTTTATTACATCCCATCATATCACAGATCGTGCTGGAAGAGTCTGCGCTGCCGTCAGAGGTAATATTCCCTAAAACCTCCATCTGGAACTCTTAACACCTTTTGGAAGCAGTACACACACTCCATGTGGCATTTGCTCCTCCCAATTCAAGGGACCCTACGCGGACCACCCCCAGGAAGCCAGCCTTCGAGTGTTGATCACCGTCGGGCAACGCAGCGCACAAAGACGCGTCCGCCAGATTTCAGCCAACCACGAAAACCACATCTTCACGAAAACTATGAGATTCTGCTGATGTGGGGAGATAGAGGCTGGGGTTTCCTGCCTCAGCCCGTGGTGGTGGCGCGGCCGGGTGGGCGAGGCGCTGATGGAGGGGCTGGGGACGCAGCGGGAGAGGACTCGGAGAGGAGCCGCCCGCCCCTACGTGGGGGGGCAGGTGCCGGGTGGGGAGGCGCTGGCCTGGCTCACAGCCCCATGGAAGCCCCCCACCCCACCCGGCCCCGGGACCCCTCGCTGGGAAGTGGCGCCCTCACTCGAGAAGAGCCCTTCCTCAGGGCCCTCTGCATAGGAGGATGTCCTTTTGTGGGGATTTTAAATAGGAGATTTGACGCATTATCTGAAGGACACAAAAGACGAGAACGTTGCCACAGAGCCGGCCGCACTGCGTGGAGGACAACGGATACCTTCCACAGGTTTGGCATGAACCTGTGCCGCAGTGCTCAGGGGAATGGCGTCCTGCGGTTACCTCGGGGTTTTCTCTTTCAGGCTCTTATTCTAGTCACAAAGAGCCTCTCCGCACCAGCATCCGATTTCCCCTTTATTCCTCCCTCTTGTGCCTTCTCTTTCTCAAAAAGGCCTAGTGTGAGACAGGAAACCACTCCTGCCCCAGTGTGGCGGTGGTACTGACGCCCCCCACAGGGGTGAGACTCTGAAGCTAAAGATACTAAAGACCTTCCCTTAGGAATGTATTTGGACTCTCCGCTGGGCACGCACAATGGTTTTTCTGCTTTCCTTAAGGAAGGGCGGGGGATGTTCTGTCTCCACAGAGTCTCTGTCTCATGACAGTTTCCTCTCTGCCCTCCTTGGTGGTGCCCTGGCCATGGCCCCACTGAGGTCCAGCATCACCTCATCCCATCTGCCGTCAGAGGACCCGAAGAGAGGCACTTACTTCCCTGGCCTGACTGTCACACAGTGCGCGGCCCGGCCCCCCGCACAGTGTGTCCAGTTGAGTCCTGGCCGGCTTCGAGTCAGCACATTCTGCAGGGAAGAAAGGCCGGATTCTGCTCACCCGCCTCGTCGGCTAGGAGTGGCTCTCTGCTATTTTCCCTCCCCCGTGGCGCCCACTCAAAACAAACTGTCTCACCAACTTTACCGTTGGGGGTTGCCTGATGTGGCTGGGGTCAACTCCTGCATCTTCCCGGCAGGGGATGAAGGAGGACAGCTTTATCTGTCACCGACTGAGGCAGGGGGGCAAAAAGGGGTTAGGGGCGTCACACAAACCCAGTCCCAAGACTGGGATGAATAAAGAGGAGGGCATTTCTTTCTGTTGCTGGAGGATTTGGTTTTTAGAGAAGACAGTGCAGTACTAACTCTTAGTGAGAAAGTGAGACACAGATAAGGAAAAAAAGCAAATGCTTGGTTTTGAGGCAATGTCAAACATCATAGGAGATACCAGTTGCAAAACTGACCACATTTAAGTCTCTTTGGTTCTTCTCTCCACATCTAAGTCGGTGTTTTCAAATGACTACAGGCATTTCAACTTAGATTTCCCTCTGGGTGAAAACTAAGTTTTAGAAACAACAGTTAACACTAATAGGGCACTCACTGTGTGCCAGGCCCTATTCTAAGCCCAATATATGTCTCTCATTTAATCTTCTAAATGACCTGAAGAGGTTGATACTACTATCGTTCCCATTTTACAGATGAGGAAACTGGCACAGAGTGATTAAGTAACTTGCCCAAGGGCACACAGCTAGAGCCAGGGACCCAAACCATGCCGTCAGGCTCGGGCTCCATGCTATTCCACTGTTCTCAGCATTGCCAAGGTCAGAAAGCCAGGGTTTTCTCTGATAATTCAGTCTCCTGGAGACAATTGTCCAGCCTGGAGCTCTATACCCAGGTTTCATCATGTTCTTCATCTCCTCAAGAGCCCACAGTGGCTCCCTGCTGCCTCCTGCAGACACGCACCCAGCCTGGGTCCCCTCCAGCATTCAGTCTCACTAACAGTCCCTCCAGGCTAGGCCTTTCTCTTCTCCCACTGCAACACCCTCCACAGCTTCCCTCTGATTATTTCTAAGATGTTGGTCTCACTTCTCTCTCTTGTGCCTTACACTTAGCCCTACAAAACAACCCATCTTCTACAAGGGGCCCTACTAGTCCATTATGTGTACAGGGAAGTTCAGCTTTCTCTTGTGATGGATAAAGCAGTCTTCAG